CTGTTTCTGTGGGAGATCAAGGAGCGGTCACTGTCTTGCAGAAGAGGTTTGAACTGCGGAGTATCTCTGCTGTGACATTGCCACAGCGTGTGATTTGGGCACTGATTTTCCTGAGCAGAGCAGGAGATTACCTGCGTGTCTTGTTCTCTGTTCATTTTTTACTCTTTCAGGTCCGTAGCTTACAGGATGAACCTGTTTCTATCCATACCACTTCCCTCTGGCTGCCGCTGGAGTTATAGAAAACGGGGCCGTGTCAGGTAGTGTGGACAAGGCAAAGGAACAAGGAACGTTTCACTGAGTCTGAAATACGCGTCAAACTAGCTCAGGAAACCACGTTAGTTATTAAAGTAGTAACACTGGAAGGGGAAACCTTCCTTCTTTTCCCTCACTTTCTTGCAAGAGTGGTTTCAGGCTGGGGGGTTTTCTCTGCTAATGCTCTGGGCAAACGATCTGCCTTGCACTGGAAAACAGCTGCATCGGTGCAAAAAGCTCAGGCTCTTCCTCTGCCTGTGTTTTCTAAAACGTGGCTATTGCTTTGTTCCATGTGGTCAAAAACTTGAGTCCGGAATTAAGGAGGGGGTGCTGGAGTCACCCAGAAATACAAACATGGGAGTGAGTAATTGGTCAGCCTCTGCCTAACTTTTGAGAGGAGTTATTCTCATGCCTGAGCAGCAGACGAGTGGAAGGAAAGCAGCTGCTGGGAAAGTTAAAGCAAAGTTAAAGGCATTTAACCTCCTTTTCCCCCTGCACAGCTAAATGGCCCATGGATGTAGGAAGCATCTTCCAGCATCGTGCTGCACTGTCAGAATAAATGGAGTTTGCCACTGTGACCTTTCGTGGTGACCAAAACTGTCACCAGCAATAGGAGCATCACACCTTGGCCAAGAACCATTCTTGGTCAGGAGATGTCTGGTATTGTCTCAGTGTTGCTGCTGCCTTTCTGACGCATGTAATGCGGTCACATTTTCTGCCTCCTGTGTGACATTTGGATTTGAAGTGTCAGACTACAGCTACTCACCTTCAAACAAAATAACTCCACATCACGTGGCATCGGCAATCAGTGTAATCAGGAACATTCTCTCTGTCAACATTTATATATTCAAGCCAGACCTGCCTTTCTGCCCTGCTCCTTTCACTCTTGTTTCCATGGTCATCTGGACTTGTAAATGATCTGAGGGATTGTTCAGCTTCACACATGTTTAAATTTGGGTGTGGAATGGGCCATTTGCTTTGTCACTTGTTCCTCCTTTTCTCAGCCCAAACACAGCAGTGCTAGTTACTCTGGTGACTCCAGCTCACAGCAGTTGCCAGTTGCTTTAACGCTATGTCACTGCTTCGGGGAAATAAAACTCGTGATTAGTTACTGAATTGTCATCCTGTCGTACCGAAGGTTACTCTTCATTTCAGCACCTGATCATTAATACAAGATCTCATCATCCCTGAAGTAGTCTTGACACCTTTTCAAGCCAGCCCATCCACTGCTAACGGTTTCAGTCTTTGTTTTCAAAATCCTTTGCATGCAGCTCCTTATTGATCCCCGGGCGAAGGAGGCGTAGTCAATACATGGATCGTTGCCTCAGGAAAGAGTTCTGCAGATCGCTCAAGACTAGAGGGAGTAAGTATAGGTCTCGCCCTGATCCTTTTCATGAAACTGGGATTGTTTGCTTGGAAGAATTCAGCCAAGAGGGTTTTGTACTTGGTCGTGTTCTAGCAAGGCCCAGCAAAGGGGCATTGACACTGTCCCAAGTTACGAAGCCGTTCCCCGGTACGACCATCCTCAACGAATCCTTTCTACTAATCAGGCGCTCGGGGATGGTTGGCGGATTGCAGTGCACAGTGTGTGCTCCTGTTGGAGTAGGGGTATCCTCTTTTCACTGGTCCTGGTAGAGGAAGGAGCAAGAATTCCACAGCTGCTTCACAGATCCTTTCCCTTCCTCCTTCCTGGTCCTTCTCTTGTATGGCAATATCTCCTGCTGCCTTCCAAGCCAACTGTTATCTTCGTGGTAATTATACCTAGAAACTAGCTGCCTCTCTAGTCATTACGGAATTTGCAATGTATGTTAACACCTGAAGGCACTAACTCAGAACCCAAAGTCTGGGGTGGCTTTTTTTGCATCTACTTTGCTCTGTTGTTAGAGGATGAATTTTGATGTGAAGCTGTATTCTTTTTTCTTAAATAAGTCGTAAGAGCCTCGTACTGAAGCGTTGTAGGTGTCTTGGCTCCCACTGAGTGAGGAGTGATGGTGCATGGCTGAGATTATTAACGGCTGCAGATCATAAAAAGATGTCGCTGGTGACTGGGGGACTGACACTATGATTTTCTTCCACAGTCGGATGCTCTCAGTCACCCAAAGGCATTGGTTAATTACCTGCTTGCTCCCTACCTAGGCTGAACTTGATGAACAGCATTTCCATGTACAGCAGCCCGAGAAGCAGCAGATGTTCAGGGTTGTTTCCCAGGCCTCAGCCCATACTGCTGCCTGAACTTCTGACCGAGCACTGAATGCCAGAAAGCAGGTGCCTGTTCTCAGTGTCTACCTGTCCCTCCCTTTCCCACCTCGCCTGTGCCACTCACAGTCCTACCAGACTCCTTCGCTGCCTGCTCAGCTCTAAATTTCTTTGCTGACCCCTCTGAGCCTTCTGGATGCGGTGAGGCATTAGGGAGAAGCCAGCATGTTGGGCTGGCTGCTTCCGATTGCCTCTCCGAAGAGTGGGCCAGTTCATAAAAATGCTGTGTTCAAATCAGCATGATGTGTGTACTTAGAATGATGGCTTCGGGTCAAAATCCTTCTTTTACGTGAAAACGTAAGCTGTAAGGATCTGAGATCTCAAACTGGTGAGAGGATAAATAGTGGAGTGCTGAAGATAAAAGAGATAAAATGGAAACACCACCATATGCAGTTAGAGACGGAGGGGAAGGTGATGAATCTGGAGGAGAGGAGGCCTGGAAGAGCTGTTAAATACAGTTGACGAGCTCTTTTTGCACAGCACAGTTTCTGATGCTACCCTGTGTGGTTTTTGCTAACTTTTGCTTTGAAATTAAATTAATTGCATTTGCTGGTGGGGTTAAGTGGCTGGAGGCGTGTTACATTTTTAAGAGGAGATGTCTCAGCCATATTTTTCTCTTTTCTCGAAGGCCTCGGTTGGCAGGCAGAGCCCGAGGGTGGTGCCATACCCAGCCCACAGTCTATGTCCTGGAGAGCCTGGCCTTCAGAGTGCAGCAGGTAGCCACAGTTTAAGTATGCTTCTGTTTGTTGGTCTGGTTTCCAGAGGAAACAAGGCTCCTGTGATCAGCCTGTCTGTTCCCTTCTCCTTCCAACATTGTCCAAACTTGTTGGTTGATTCCCATGCCATTTGACAGAGGAGGAAAGTCTTAAGGATGCCAGCGCTCCTACAAGCGTCCATTTGCCCATTCTTGCAATAAGGGGTAATTAGCCTAAAAATGCTTTGGGTGAAGGAAAGGCTGCAGTGTGCGATCATATGTTATGGGATTAGCAAATCCAGTCAGGAGAGACACCTAAATACTCAGAAAACCTTCAGATTCAGCTTTCAGTCAGTTGTGGGACTTGAATGTGCCGAAAACCAGGCTTTGCTAAATTGCTAAATGCGCTCAGGGAGTGACTTCTTTCAGCTGTGTTCCCCAGCCCCTCTCGCTCCTTCCTACCTCATCTCTCCCTCTGGCTTATCATGGCTGCACACACACGAGGGGTCCATCCCAAGCTTTGTTGCATTTGCAGATTTGGTCAAGGGTGGTGCTAGTATCCCAACTTCTTCTAATCCCTGCAGTTGTGTCAATGGGCTCAGCTGATCATCGACTGAACCTAGCAGAGATCCTTTCACAGAACTATGGTGTACGGGAAGAAAGGGAAGAAGAAGATGATACTCAGGAGAAGCAGAAGTCTTTAGAAGAGCTGGAGAAGAGTTTCAGTGCCTCTCAGGTAAAGGCAGCAAGGGAGGGGAAGGGAAATTACCTGCTGGTACCAAAGATCTTTATGTGCACTCTGACTTGCTCAGCGGGCAATGCACTGTGTCTAGGCCCACCTATCAGTGAGTCTTAGGTTTGCATTTGGGTAGGAAGGAATGGTTTTGACAACGGGTGACAGCAGTAAGTTTTGGAGTCTTCCCCTGCCAAGTCGCCGCTCTGATGAGGTGGTCTTCTCTCGCCTTGCTGAAGAGCCATCAGCACTTGGGTGTACGTCCGTGTCACAGTGGAAGAACCACAAAGATGGGACGGTGCGCTCCTCCTGTGGAGGAGGCCTTGGTGGAGCACAAAGCACGTTCTTGGTGACAGAGACTGTCTCTTCAGGTCAGGCACAAGACTAAGACAGGGATTTGCTCCTTCCCTTCCTAAGTATAAATATGGTTCTGCTGTCTGGCATCTCTTCACCAGCGTGAAATCTAGTGTAAAAATTTAAGTATATTTTTAAAATGCCCTTGGCTGTATTGCTTTGGGCTGAAAGTTCCTGGCTTCTCTGTACCTTTGAGATCCTTCATTACGTAGCGTTACCTGAGGCAGTTCAGAGCTCCCAGAAGAGCAGAGCTGCCTTGACTGCTTCTGCATATCTCTGTGTTCACTACAGCTGGTGTTGTACTTGGTGATTGTTCCATTCCTGATGAAGCTTTGTCCTCCTCTCGCTCAGAGCAGTGAAATGCCATTTGAGGAGCTGCTTGCACTTTATGGCTATGAGGCATCTGATCCCATCTCGGAGCAGGACAGCGAGAGCAATGATATTACTCCAAATCTCCCAGATATGACTCTGGATAAGGTAAGAGCAGCTGTCTGCTTCGGTGTGTGCTATCAGCCCGTGCTGTAGGTTACCGTCCTGTCCTGGGGCTTGAGACGTCTGGTAGCTCTTTTTATGTGGGGTTTGACTAGTGCCAGGGGAAGGGGCCTGCCTAGTTCTGGTGTGCCAGTGAGGAATTCCAGGTGCAGAAATTTAATGTAAAGAGTTCAGAGGAGACTGGAGAAAGGATAACTGTTTTAAAAAGAAGACTGTAAAAACTCTTTATGGAACTGGGGTCATAAGTCTTTAGGCATAGACATAGGCTCTGTGGAGTTGGGGGGGGGGTGTATCTTCCCAGCTAAAGCTATGTCTCCTCCTGTTCTAGCTAAAGTCTGTAGAAAGCACTTTTTCTTTTTTCCTTCCAGGATCTTTGAGATATTGGCTCTGGGTGGAGCTCTACAGCAAGGGCCGCTTGCTCTTCCTCTCTCTGGCTTCCATAGGAAGCCACTCTTGGCACTTGCAGAAGTGCTTCTAGGGAAGATAATGTAGGGGTGGTGGGGAGCATGAGAGGGAATCTGTCTTTGGAGAAGCTATGGGAGGGTGAGGAGATCTGTGGATGTGGCCACCTTTGGCCAGAAATGTTTTGCTCTAGGCCTCACCCCCCCATATATATATATTTTTAATTTAAAAATATTTTTCACTTTCTTGTTGTTGTTAAAAGGAACAAATAGCGAAGGATTTGCTTTCAGGGGAAGAAGAGGAGGAGACACAGTCTTCAGCTGATGATCTGACTCCATCCGTCACATCCCATGATGCATCGGACCTATTCCCAAACCAGCCTGGCTGTATGTGTTGCTAATCTTTAAGTGACTGGGTTTTACTTAGCTTTGGTGTGCACAATAAGGCAAGAACGTTTTTCTTTATTTTGACACTCAGTTTCCAGATTTCCGCTTCCCTTCAGGGGGCTGCAAATAAACCTGAGTGCCAGTGGTGTTACCGAGCATCGGTTAGGGCATGATAGAGTGCAGATGAGCAGTGGGATGAGGAGAGAATTGTCTTTAGCTGTAACTCATAACCTTGAGAAAGTGAGAATTGTTTTGCTACCTGCTGTAATTGCAGTCTGAAAGATTAGTACCTGGTCTGACATCTCTAAAGTGAATAATAAGTTCAGTAGTGCTAGTGGTGTGATTTATTGTGGCAGTTCCTAAATATCGGAATATGCAAGAAGCCAAAGTGCATGGGAGAGACTCAGCATAAAGTGTCCTCATGCCTTCTGCTAGCCTGCAGAATGATGGAGTCTGAGCTGCCTGGGTCAGTCAGCACCACCCATGTGGCAAGTGTACAAATTCTTTCATTTAAAAGGAGAAAATTAAAATATGGATAAGTTGTCACTGAGGAGCCTGCTGAAGGTCACTTCAGGATAGAAAATGAAGGGAAGGAGAGGGAACGTAAAGCAACCGGGAAAAAACCCGTAACTACAGATCTCTTCCTTTCCCACAAAGCAAACAACTTCCTTGCTGATGAAGACAAAGAGCCCTGTTCATCTCCGTGTGCTTCCTCCATGGCTGAGGATTCGGAGGAGGATTCCATCCCATCCAATGAGTGTAAGAAGGTAAGTGATCTGAGTGCATTGGGAAGGGTAATACAACGCGCCTGAGTCTGGGGAAAGCATGACACCAAAGTGCTGTCATATTGCCTCAAGAAATTTTCTTCCTCTTACTTTATTTTGCTCAACGCCCTGCATTTATGGGGAGATGGTGGCAGATAGGGGTTACAAGAGGTTTTTTTAATACAGTCTTGAAACCTGTATCTGAAATTATCTTCTGCTTCAGATACAGAAAACGCTGCTGTGCCTAGGTAAACTAAAATTGCAGTCTGTAGCCCTGTAAAGGTGAAATGCAGTGCAATATTCCCAGGAGGATTTACTGAGGGGGAGCCATCACGTGGAAGAGAGGAGCAGACTTCCAAATTCATCCTGGTTGTGAAGGTTGCAGGAGAGCTGCTGTGTTTCTTTATCTCCAGCCTTAGCTGCTTGCCATATATCTTTAACATTAAAACTATGTAAATGCCTAAGGTCCCCAAAGTATCATCTGGTTGGTAGTAAATCTTTTTAGTTACCCTGTAAAACAGGCAGTGTTCCCTAGAAGCAATAGTGACAGTGGGGATTACCGATATATAAATCGGCCTCTTGGTGTCATAGTCCCTAAATCATGAAGTGCACCTCGGTGCCTACACGGAGCGTTTTCCATTTCAATTACCCACTTCTCTGTGGTGATATTTCAGGAGATCATGGTTGGACCTCAGTACCAGGCCGCTGTTCCCATCCTCCACTTAAACAGGCATGGTGAAAAAGGTAAGGCAACCTGCTTTGTGTGTCTTGTTTGGTTGTGGGGCTGCTGTCCCGGGCATCTGGTGGGGCCCAAGTTCACCAGCTCTGCTCTATGTCTCTAGGCTTGGCACCTCTCGGTGTTGACACCAAAATTTAGAGCTACACCCAAGCTAGCTTTAAAGTAGCCTGTTTGAATAGGGCTAGTAGTACAACTGCAGCAGCTGAGAAGCTCAGTGGAAACCAGGTTGGTGGGAGAGGTTTGGAGGAGGGGGTCTCAGCTGCAGCCAGAGAGAAGGAATACCCTTTTGGAGATATTCTAATTTATTTTTTTCTGATGTTTTCCGTAAGTAGCCAGAGTTATTCTCATTCCGTACTCCCTGGAGCTGATGGGTTTCCAATTTGGTCTGATGTCTGCAGAGTAGATGGAGGTGCCTTGATTTGCAGGTTGTGTCTAATAACTAGTGCAATGCTAGCACCAGCTTGCTGAGTTCTGAACAAGGTAGCTAACAGAGAGCCACATCTCTAGAAATTACTTGCTTCCTCCCTAGTTCGTTTATCCTAACAGACTCTGAGCAAATTAGTTAAAGGAGATAAAAGTTACCAGGTTTGCAGGTACTATTTCAGATTTACCTAATGTAGTTCTTGGACCTTTTCACTTCATCAGTGCTTTTGGCCTTCTGTGTTGAAGCCCACAGACTCGGTGCGTGTTTTCCATAACCTGGGTGTTTGCATCAGTGTGAAATGAAAGGAAAGTGACAGTGCTTAGGGCTCTAAAAGGGGTACAAAGAGTTTTAAACTTACTTGCCTCCAGAATCGGGAGACAAAATGCAGTGCCTTCACAGAGATGGTTGTCATCTCCGTTGGCAGACTGGAGTACCGAGCAAAGATTTCCTCCCTCCTCCTGTCTCTTCCATGCATGTACGTGTAGACGTCTTTTCAAAAGCAGAAGAATTCTCTTTGATTAGCTTATTTCAGTGCTTTTTCCGTTAGCCTATGAGAATGAAGATCAGCTGCTTTGGGACCCAAACATACTCCCCGAGAGAGAGGTTGAAGAGTTCCTGTACCGTGCAGTGAAGCGGCGATGGGACGAGCTGTCTAGCAGCAGCCTGCCAGAAGGAGAGATGGTGAAAGACAACGAACAGGTAAGCATGGGAGCCTCTTGCAGCCCGCAGACTCTCTAACGGTGCTGGCCTAGCGGTGCAACGTTGCCTACAGAGGTCCTGACTGAGACACCCACTTAAAAGAGAATGAGACCTAATTCCAGTGATCCTCTGCTCCTGCTTCATGGATGAGTGAGGGTGTGCAGCTCAGCTGCGGTCTCAGGGGCCTGTTGGAGCTCCTGTTGGGAAGATGGGAAAAGGCTGCAGTGGATCAGACCAGTCTGGCTTGGTACTTTCTTCCCACTCAGTAGCAGATGTTTGTGGAAAATGTGTAACAGACTGGGCAAGCAGAGAATGGGTACTGGTTTGACTGTATTCTCCCAGCACCCCAAACTGTCTGAGCCAGAGCTTGCAGCAGGAACATCCTTTTGGATCTGTCCTATATAGCATTGTCTAATCCTTCTGTGAAGCCAGCAGAAGAGCAAACATTTGGCTAAGAAACTTCAGAGCAGTTGTCGTCTCTAAACTGGCCAGATTAGATTCCCACAGTCAGTCTGCAAGAGCACAGAGGCGCACCTGTAATCTGCAGAGCTGCTGGGAGAACTTCATCTTTTCAGTCCCGGGATTTGTAATCCAGTGCCTTGAAAAGTGGGAAAATCTGTGCTGATGGTCGAGCTGGGCTTAGCGACAAAGCGGATCCTGGGAAAAATAAGTTATACGAATCAAACGTGAGTGGTGAGCAGGTCGGTTTGTGGTGTGTTGCTCAGGTACGTGCTGTCCGTAATTTTCTTCTGTTTCCTAGGCTCTGTATGAACTGGTTAAATGCAACTTCAATGCGGAAGAGGCACTGCGGAGGTTACGGTTCAATGTGAAGGTTATCAGAGGTGAGAAGCTCCTATATTTGGGATCTACCCCAAACATCAAGGCTCATTAACTCTTTCTGGATTCTGTACATCTCTTCCAATTGCTCTTTCTTTCCGCTATAGATGAGCTCTGTGCCTGGAGCGAGGAAGAATGTAGAAATTTTGAACATGGCTTCAGGGTCCATGGGAAAAATTTTCATCTTATCCAAGCAAACAAGGTAAGGACGCTCGCCCCTGCGTCCCACTAAGACAGAGGGCGGGAGGCACGTGCCTTTGCACCAGAGGTACGTTTTGAGCCTCGGCTAATGCAGGATGTTCAGGACTGCTGAGTTCCGATCCCAGGCTTTGTGTTGACTCATGCTAGCAGGTGATGGGCTGTTCACTGCCCTGCTCTGCCTTATTTTCCAGGTGGGAGAAGTCACAAACAACACTGACCTGCATGAGTGATGTCAGTTAATTACTGATTAGCCCTTTCTGGAGTCTCAAAAGTTCTTTCCAAACTCTCAGCCCTTGCAGTACTTCTGTGAATGAGTGAGTTGAGCATGTGGATGTTTTGTAAAGTCCCCTGGGGTCCTCTAGAGCGAAAGATGCTGTTGTAGAGAGAGCTGAGCCACAGGACATACGCTGCTGTGCTGGGAGTTGGCAGAACCAGAGAGTCCAGTTCTACCGCTGATTAATTGTGGGCATGTTGACGCTGGCCAGTGAAAATGGATGCAGGTTTGCTCTCTTGATGTTAAGTGTGCTACTGGAAGCGCAGGAAGGTCCTGCACGAATGTACGGTGTGTGAACCCACACTGGGGTCTGCAAGAACAGTTGTGCACTGTGGGGAGTTCTTTCTCTGGCTGATTACCACCTTGGAAATCTCAGTATGTGCTTCTGTTCTGCAGTGTAGACGTGTCCATAGCAATATAAATTTCTGTAATGCACTTAATTTTCTGTGCTGATTAAATAGGAGAATAGTCCTTGCTCCTTGAGATGCATCCTGATGCACGGCTTTCTGACGGTGATGTTTCTCCTCAGGTCCGCACCCGGTCGGTGGGCGAGTGTGTGGAGTATTACTACATGTGGAAAAAGTCAGAGCGCTATGACTACTTCACTCAGCAGACTCGTTTAGGAAGGAAGAAGTACGTCCTCCACCCTGGAGCCACGTGCGTGGAATATTCTCACACTAAAATTAGTAATATTAACCTCCCAGGGAAGATTCCTGC